AGCTTGAGAGTTTTCAGGTTGTGTGTGTGTGTATATGTGTGTTTCTGGGGTGTAGAAGATTGGTCAAAATGGTGGGAGAAATTTTAGAAAACGCAAACCTTCTTGGAAGGCTGTTAAGGTTTTTCAAAAGCTTGGAAGAAGGTTATGGCTGAAGGCAGTCTAATAGTCTTACCTTGAGCTAATAGCAAAAAGCAAATATCAACGGAATGTAGAGGAGTTTATCTATATAGCTTGTTGTACTCATGTGGTCCTAAGGCTGACCTTTGAACAGCTGTGGGCAAAACTGCCCTCTACTCTGGGTGTCGGCAATGTTAATAGCGTTTACTTGAGACCTTTGTCATTTAATTCGTACTAAATAAATGCGAACATCCCCAGCTTATGAGGGCTATTGCTGACTCTGACAGAGGTTCCCTGGCCATGCTCACTGGCAAGCCCGTGTCAGTGTACGTTTTTCATCCATAGCTTGGTTGAATCAGCAGGTCAGACTCGTCAGTGGGGTGCAGTGGGAAAGCCTTAGAATCACTTAGCCATCAGGTAGAAATATGCCTTTGTCCTTTGCTAAAGAGAATAGGGTCCCTGAATTCATTTTGATCTTTCCATGAAGTTAGCTTCCAATATCCTTCTTTTCTATACACTTTTGATAATGTGCTTTTGACAGCTACTCCTTATTTTCATGAAATCTATTGAGATTTTACATAATTTAGGTAGGTATGGAGTATTGATTCAGTGCCTTTGCAAGTCACTCTGTCTGATTATAATCCTTGGAGGACATTTTATGGTTCTATTTTCAGTGTTCCAAAGGACAGAAAAAGCATGAATAGACTTAACTCACATGTCTCCCTCACACCATCCATAATGACAGCATTCTCTGCTTGCTTTTACATTCTGCTGCTGTTATGGCATCCAAGTTCAGGACGTGCTATCTCTGGCTTAGGCCATGAGCCTAACTAATTTATTTATTTACTATTTATTGTTTCTTTAATATTTGTGGGCCTAACTAATTTTTGATTACCATCAGAAGAATGCAAGTTTTTTTCTTAATAGAATCTGAGTTTTTTTATTTTTTAAACCTTTTGTTTCTAGTTTCTTTACATCTCATAACCATTTAGGATTTGACCTTTTTGCTTATAGTACTGGGGTGAAGAGGTAGGGCCACTGGGGAAACCAGCTGGTGGGCCTGCAGTTGAATTTTTCATTACGGGCATGTTTTATTTTGTGAGCAGAGACTCCCTGCCCCTGCAAGTAAACCCAAATGCTTTAAATTGGGCATATATTTTCCTGTTTGCCTCAGGCTTCATTACTCCTTAATGTTGAATTGGCTGTTTTGGGGTATACAGAATCTTTAAATTCACTCTCCCTGCACACTTAAAAAATGATCTTGTATTCTATAGTAATTATAACTTGTCTTTCCATTTGGGTTGGTATTTAGCTGCTTTCTTGTGTAAATCAGGTGATTCCTTGTTATCATGTAAAGATAACAACAATTGTATAGTACTTTAGAGCATTATGAGGTGCTTTTATTTGAACAAGTTTTAAACTTTAGTTTCTTGGATTATCACAATAATCCTGTGGCTAGGAAGGTGGGTATTTTTCTCCTTATTATGTATAGGAGGTAATATATGGTGGTGGTAAAGATGATGGGTGCTGAAGGTAGATAATTTGAATTTGAATTTTATCTTTAATAATTGCTAGCCTAGTCTCAGCTAATAAACGCACTCAGCTTCCTAACCTATAGACTGGAGAGACCTGTTTTATAGGCGTATTAGTCCGTTATCACACTGCTATAAAGAAATACTTGAGAATGGGTGACTTATAAAGGAAAGAGATGTAATTGACTCACAGTTCCACATTGCTGGGTTGGCCTCAGGAAAGTTACAATCATGGCAGAAGGCAAAGGAGAAGCAGGTACTTTCTTCACAGGGTGGCAGGGCGGAGCGAATGCAAGCAGGGGAAATGCCAGACACTTATAAAATCATTAGATCTCATGAGACTCAGTCACTGTTATGAGAGCAGCATGGGGAAAATCACCCTTGTGATCCAATTACCTCCACCTGGTCCTGCCCTGGACATGTGGGGATTATGGAGATTACAATTCAAGATGAGCTTTCGGGTGTGGGTAAAGCCAAACCATATCAATAGGGTTGTATGAAAAATAAATAATTCCGGCAAAGCAATTAGAACACTACCTAGCACATAGTAAGTGCTTAATAAACCTTAACTACCAAAATATTAGCCTCATTAATAGAATCTGAAGAAATGGAAAAATAATTAAAAAGCATAAATGTCTCAATGTTCTGTTTTTTTTTTTTTCCCTCTTGAGAGGGAGAATACTTAAATTTTGGTGAATCTCATTTGTCTTTTCATACCCCTTTGAGGTAGTGAATAATAGATTACATCATTTCCATTTTGCAGGGAGTAGTTGAAGTCCAGCAATAAAAAAATACAGGCTTTGGAGTTAGACAGATGAGTTTCACATCTTGGCTTTCCACTTCTGGTTATATATCTTTAAACCCATTTTTCTCACTTCTATAATGGGGATGAGCAGAACATTGTTTGGAGATTTGAAGGAGATAATGCTCACAAAAGAACTAATGCAAGGTACTTAGTACACTTGCCACATACTGTCACTCAGTAAATGTGGCTGTTATTGCTGTTGAGGGGAGGCGACTTTTTACACTGGCCCAGGGTCAGAGTTAGGTGGGCACCCAGGTTCCATCATCTCTAACATAATGCTGAATGTACTGCTTCATCTGGGTATGTTGTTTTTCTGCATTTTAAATCCAAGTGTTTTGATCTTTTGGTTACTAATTTAATTTTAATGTACATATTATGGACACTGGCTCTGTGTGTCAGCAGACCATGAACAATGCCTATTGCATCAAAATCCTGAGTTTACCTCATGTCACAAGACAAAGTTAATGTTAGTGAATTCACATGACCAACAAGGAATATGACACTTGCAGAATCTGTCAGATGGTGTCTGGGCAGCTATTCCCAGAAACTGAAAGCAGCAGGTGTTTATTAATATTTACTATGTGTTTGGCATTGCATGAAGTAGGGGACACAAAAGAAACACCATATTATATTCATCTCTCACAAGAAACAGATGTGATAGAAACATGACACAATTAAGGAACAATAATAACACTGTGATTCAGCTCATATTAGTTAAATGGGCTCCGGTCTACGTACTGAAGGACTCTCTCAGACTGGTAGATAAAAAGACAAGTAGCCCCACACTTAAAGCATATTCAGTACATGATAATAGAGTTATAAATAGGAAGTGCTGAGGAGGAGTTATATGGTGTGTGTGCATTTGGGTGTTGGTGCAAGTTCCAAAGCAAGGTGCTGCTTGGATTGTTGACTAGTTGGGAATGCTGGGGAGGAGTATTGAGTGAAGTGAATAGAAAATCTTATTTGCCAAGGCAGTGAGACGTGGAAGAGCCTAGGGAAGCAAAGAACAGCATGTGTTTAGTATCCCTGATGGCTAGAGCTTAGGGTTTACAGGAGGAGCGGTGGGAGAGCAGGCTAGAGGAGTACTCTAGGGTAAGTCCTTGAAGACCTTGTGTACCATGCTGAGGAGTATAAGCATTAAGGTGTTGACAACCAGGCAGGCAAGAGATGATTATATCAGTGTTTCTGAATAATTATTCCAGAAACATCATGTAGTCAAACAGAAGTAAGGGCCTGAATCAAAAACTGAATAGATGAATGAATGAATAGTAGTGTATTAGATGATACTAACTATAAATGTTGTAGGAGTTTAGAAAAAGAAGACACCATCATGGGAATAATATTCAAAGAATACTCCATGATGAAAAAAGATTTGAGCCGGGTGCGGTGGCTCACGCCTATAATCCCAGCACTTTGGGAGGCCGAGGCGGGTGGATCACAAGGTCAAGAGATCGAGACCATCCTGGTCACACGGTGAAACCCCGTCTCTACTAAAAAATACAAAAAATTAGCTGGGCATGGTGGCGCGTGCCTGTAATCCTAGCTACTCAGGAGGCTGAGGCAGGAGAATTGCCTGAACCCGGGAGGCGGAGGTTGCGGTGAGCCGAGATTGCGCCATTGCACTCCAGCCTGGGTAACAAGAGTGAAACTCCGTCTCAAAAAAAAAAAAAAAAAAAAGAAAAAATATTTGAGTGGTTAGCCCAGGGATTTATTGATAGCAGCTAGCCAATAAACTGGATATTGAACATAAGTACAATTTATATAGGAGAGAAGACAGGAAGTAATTCCAAGTTGCATAAACATGTGTGAAATGGTCAGAGAGACAAATCTAATTGGATAACAGTGGTAAATGATCCAATTTCAGATGCATATTGGTCCCAGATTTTGGAAGCCTTCAAAATGCCTGGTTGAGGAGTTTAGATTTATTTTTTAATCAATAGGAAGCCATTAAAGATTCTTAAACAGATATTTCAAGATTTTCAGTTTGGGTTAGAACTGTGTGCATCTATTGGATTGCTTCATCTTGGTTGGAGGAAGATGAGTCTGATGAGATAACACTAGTTCTGATTCTTACATTTAATGGAAATGCCAGAGAGACTTCACTACTTTTAGACAGAAAAATAAAGGTTAATGACCCCACTTTGGTTATGGGTAGACTATGGAATAGTTCACTGTTGGGAGACAAAGGAAGCTGAGGCAAAAATGAATGAATGCCCATATGAGATTTTCAGTGATACCAGTCTAAAGAGGGATAGGGTAAATAGAAAGATGGTAGAAACTGCTTGCTCTGTGGAGACTTTTAGGGATAGCAGAAACATAGCGTGCACAGTCAATATTATTCCATACCCACAGCAGACATTGTTAATTGATTTTGGTATATTTTCCTATAGTCTGGAGGCCTTGTTAATGCAGTGCTCCAGGCAGGCTACTATTAATTGATCAGAGGTGGCAGTGGAATTCAAACCTACTTGTCAGGCCTGCAGTAAGAAATGAATGAGAAATGGGGTATGACTACTCACAGTACAAATCAATTTTTACCTTTCCAGGTGGAACTTGCAGAAATCTGTGCCAAGAGCGAGCGTTACATTGGCACTGAAGGAGGAGGCATGGACCAGTCTATATCATTTCTTGCAGAAGAAGGAACTGTAGGTGGCATTCCAAATAGAAGCCATTTGGAAATACCTAATGGGAAAATTTACATGCAGAGGAAGGCCTTGAGAGCCCCAGAATACTTTGTTATGGACAGCCTACTCTATTAAGCTCTATTGTAGGATATTATTTCCCAACTGCTTGTAACTCAAGGGTACCACCAGTTAACCTACTCTATTTCATATTGATTGCCTTCTCTTACGCTTCCAGAATGATACCTCCAATCTGTTTTTCTCATGTGTCTAGCTTTTTTCCCTCTTCTATTTTTCTTCATTGTTAAGATGAGCTTTCTCAATTCCCTAGTTATTGGAATCTCATTTCCCGCTCCCATCCTAAACCACTTCATCTCATGGCATTTTAAAAATATCATGTTGGTTTTAAACCCAAATCGTAGTTCTCTTACCACATATACTCACAGTCCCTCTTTTTATAATTTACTCTTTAGTATCATTTTTCTCTGTCAACATTTTTGGGGCTTCAGTGGTGGGAAAAAGAATGTTGACAGTAAGCCAGGAATGAATTCCTTAGCTGGATACTACTTCCCCTTGGCTATCAACTCCTTTAGGCAGAGCAGAGGTTTTTAGCTGTTGCCCATAGGCTGTTCATTTCCAAAATAGAGCAAACATTTCTTTAAAATCATTTCTTAGTTTTTCATCAGATTCCTACAGGCTTGGCTATTTTCCAAGAACACCTGGATTCCTTCTTATTAAGAATATTTGTTATTGATTCCCCTAAGCCAAAGACATGAGGCATAAGGAAATTTGTTTTAATACTAAGAAAATACTTTGGGTGTTTTGGATGAGACTCAGCAAGCAGACACGAGGGCAACAGTCCTGATGTTAATGTAAATTAGCTATAGAGTCTGAACACAGTCCAAGTTCTCTGGGCTTACAAAACACTTCACCATCTGACCCCTGCTTTACCCTTCCATCCTAACCTCTCAATACTTCTCACCCCTCAAACTGTAAGCTCCAGCCACATTTCCATGTCTATAGCTCCATTAACATCCCATGTTGTCTTTTGCCCCTGGACTTGCCTAAGCTGTTCCGTCTTCTTGACATGCTTTTTGAAAGAAACCTTCTGTCTGCCCTACTTTTACTCATCTTTTAGGACTTAGTTTAGATTTTTCTTTTTCAACTGAGTGGAGCCTACACCAGGCTGTATCTGATTGGATGCTTCAGCTATGTGTCCATATAGCATCTGTGCTTTGCTACCATTGTAACACAACTTGGAAATGTATTTGTCTGTTTACTAGACTGTCTTTCCCACTTGACTGTAGGCTCTATGAGAGGAGTGACAGTGTCTGTCCTGTTCACTGTTGTATTTCCAGTGCCTAGTACAGTGCCTGGAGGTCAATAAGTAATATTTGAATGAATGAATGCATTTTTGACCAAACGTTTTGCTAAGATAAATACATAAATACTTGAACATTTTCTGAATTCTAATAAATTATATTTCTCCTTTCATTTTTCTTCTAACAGGCCAAGTTGATAGAATTTAGTCCTCTGAGGGCAACTAATGTGAATCTCCCAAGTGGAGCAGTGTTTGTGATTGCCAACAGTTGTGTGGAGATGAATAAGGCAGCAACTTCCCATTTCAATATCAGGGTGATGGAGTGTCGGCTGGCTGCAAAGGTATGAACTTGGCAAGTTAGTGAAACTTGAACTAGGGTTTTTCTTGTCTTCATTTTCATTGCTCTCTATTACTTTATGTCTTTCTCCAAATTTTAGGGCATCATTCTGCTGCAGCAGCATTCCAGCTGAAGGTCGTTGGGTACAGAGCAATCTGATTTCCAACACAGGAGACAGATGAACCAGTTGTCTTCTGGGGTGGCACTGGGAAGAAAATGACGGCTTATATATGTGAAGCACAGGCTGTGGGTTAGGATCTGTGGGTGGAGAAAGATAGTTGGTGACAATTAACGGGAAGTGACCACAACTGGTCTTGTTTCCTCAAAAAAAGTGATGGCAGCGTCACCCTTCCTGGTCCTCTAAGATGTAGTTTTTGTATTGGGCTATCACTGGTTACTCCAATAATACAGGATTGGTACAGTCCCCCCCGCAGCCAGTACCCAGAAAGATGATTTTCATATGTCTACTAGGGAAACATAAACCAGCAGGTAGTCTTGGAAGTCTCTGTTTAGAAAACTCTCACACATAAACTTAAATTTAGGTAGTATCCATTGAGTTGCTATTTGCAGTTCTAGCAGCAGCAAGATATACAAAGGAGCATAAGACATAGCACTAGAGAGAATGGACAGTAGAGCTGAGAGTTCAAGTTGAGGGATTATGAAACAGGAAATGGTTAATATGTGATCAGATAGTAAGTAAACCAGTGATCCAAAAAGTGACATAGGAATTAGATGATATAGAGGATCCAGAATAGCTCATAATATGACTAAAAAGTTGGAGTGAGGACTGAGGCTGGAGGCTAGGAAGTGGATTCTGCGTCAGGAGCTCCACTGTGCTTTCTTCCACTCTTGCTTTGATCTCCTGATGGATACTGATTGATATCACCTAAGACTCATGATAAGCAACCTTCACCATTTCCTAAATACAGCCTGGAATCCATTTTCTCAGTAGTAATAATTTCAGGCCTTCTTTATGTCTCTCAAACACCCATTACTTGATTCAGCCTGACTAACTTCCAAAAGTGGTATTTCCTGTTGGAAATAGATGTAATTAGAGACTTTGGCTTCCTGCTATTATATCTGCATGTCTCCCTCTATCTGCATTTCCTGTCAAAGCCAGTCCTTCCATGTGTGGTTGCAGGGAACTCACTCCATCTTTAGCCTGTTCCTCACCTCTGTTTCTTTACTAAATCCTTTCTATCAAACTCCACATATTCTAGTATTTTTTTAATTAGAAAAGTGTACTCTAAGTCTCACAACTTTCTCCAACTACTATTTATATTTCTACTTTTCCTTCTCTTCACAGTTAAACTTCTCAAAAATTGCTTTATATATATATTATCTTTACTCCTCTACCTCCCTATTATTCCTTAATTTACTAAACTTTCACTTCTGCCACAATATTAAAATTGTTCTTTCTTAGACCACTAAAGATTTTTTTCATTGGTAAATCCAGTAGACTCTTTTCTTTTTCTTTTCTTTTTTTTTTTTTTCTGGGACAGAGTCTTGCTCTGTCGTGAGGCTGGAGTGTAGTAGTACAATCTCAGCTCACTGCAACTGCCACCTCCCAGGTTCAAGTGATTCCCCTGCCTCAGCCTCCTGAGTAGCTAGGGCTACAGGCATGTGCCACCATGCCCAGCTAATATTTTGTATTTTAGTAGAGACGGGGTTTCATCATGTTGGCTAGGATGGTCTCGATCTCCTGATCTCGTGATCCACCTGCTTCGGCCTCCCATAGTGCTGGGATTACTGGTGTGAGCCACTGCACCTGGCCTGGTGGACCCTTTTCAGTCTTCATCTTATTTCTCACTGTTATTTCTTATATTTCAACAGAGTTAACCAGTCTTACCCTCTTGAAACATTCTCTTCCTTTGGTTTCCAGTATACTTCACTTCCTGTTTTTTTTTTCCCCTCTTATATTTTTGTTGCTATTTCTTTTTGGTTTTAACCATCTCCCTTTCTATACCCAACTCCCACCCTGCTTCAGGCAGGGATGAAGGGATGGCAGGAATTCACTCCTCCCACAGATCTTTAAATGTTGGTGTTCTTCAAGGCCTTGGCTTTGGTCTTCTTCTTTTTTCTTGTAGTCTTTCTTCTGTTGGCCCCATGCCCTCTCACAGCTTCAACTTCCATCTCTATGATGATGATTTCCTAATAGACATCTTCAACTAAGGCTTTCTTGGCTGAGCTCCAAACCTCTGAATCCAATGCCTTACTGACCATTTCTACTTGAGTGAATCATAGACCTCTCAAACTGAGCATCTTGAAATTGAACTCAGTCTTTCACAGACCTTATATTTTTCCATTGGTCCCATCATCATTTATTGACTCTCACATTAGCCTTCTCACTGTTTCTTAAATTCATGCTCATCTCTTTCACAATCATTTTTAAATAACAGCATGATGCTTTAGAAATTTAAATCTGATCAATTTAAATTCCCCTGCTTAGCATCTTTCAAAAGCTTCCTATTTCATTGGAATAAAGTAAAAAGTCCATATCGTCACCTGGAGAGCCACCATATCTGAGACCTGTGCACTTCATCCCTTAGCATTACCAGTTATCCTCGCACTCCAGCCATGAGACTCATTCTCATTTCAGAGACTTTGCACCTGCCCACCACACTCTTCCTTTAGCCCTCTTTGAAGTCAGTTTAAATGTCCCTCAAGGAAGCCTTCCCTGACTTCTTTACTCCTAGGCTAAGGTAGAGCCCCCTTTGTATTTTGAAGCACTTCATTTTCCAGTATGGCACTTACCACAATCACTTATTTAATGTCTGTCTCTTCTTTCAGATTTAGTTTTACCTGAGAGCTGAGGCTGTGTCCGTCTTATTAACTCTTATATCCCTAATGCTTGACATGGTGCTTAAGCTGAAGAGGCACAGGATAAACATTTGTTGATAAATGACTACTCCCTGTATCACCTGCTCTGTACTTTATTTTGCACAATTTCCCAGTTTTTAAAAAATACCTATTGTATTCTCAGCACTGGCCTAGATCCTGTGGAGGTGTGTAAAGTGTAGTTTTCCCTTCTTACTGACTTAGTACTTCTCTTACTCCTATCCTCTGAGGTTGGGAAATTCAGGAAATTAGAGATATACTGAGCCAGGAAAATAAAAGCTTTCTGTTTCTGGAATATTTGGGAGTTATACATTTTTTTTGAAAAATTATTATTTCAATGTTCTAAATTTTTAATTTACTTATTAAAATAATATCTAAAAAATGTAATAGAAGTGCTTTAACATTGAACTCTTCATAGTATCTGATCAGTGCATATGTGCAGAGAAATAGTGCCGTAAACTTTTCAATATCAAGGGTTCAATGAACTTTTTTTCTTTTAGGACACACTTCCTTTGTCAGGAAATGGAAGAAATTCGTGTCTTATTTGTTTGAGGACTTAGTCTTGTTGACCTTTTATCTTGAGGTTGATGAGTAAGTGTTGCCTTCCTAAGGAGACCTCAAACATACACAAGATTGTTTTCAAAGTTTTATCACGAAATTAGGTATCATCTACCAAATCCATACGTGAGCTGAAATAAGTATTAGACATGTAAAATCAGTTCAGGTAGTGACTGCTCTCCTAAAGATACAAGAAGAAAATGAGGGATAAATTGTAGTGCTGAGTCTCTGTAGCAAAAGTTACTGGGATGTGGGAATGCTTTTTGAGAGTTAACCAGAAAAAGGGCATCTCTTTGGAAGCAGTGGTAGCTGAAGATCTTAATCCACTGTAGAACCTCCTGTTCTTGAGGATGTTTTCTCAGTTTAACTGCATAACCCCATATGCATTTTAGAGGTACTTTGGTCAGCAAAATTGGCATCTGAATTCGGCTTTTTGCCACACACTCCTCCCAATTGACGTAGATAAACACATTGTTTTAAATACTCTGAATTTTTCTCTTTTAAAATGTAGAAGAAAGAAAAATGAAAGACTTTATCAAGATGGAAAATGTTTTCTAAATCATGTTGCTACAAATCACTAAAATCCAAGGTTTTGTACAAAAAGGAAATGAAGATAAAACTGCTAATGTGTGCTTTATTCAGAGATGTTGATATTAGGAATATGCTTTTGCTTAGGAATACAGACTGGAATTCTACTAAGCATATTTTCTTTGCAATATGGTTCTATTCTTCCATCTCTGGCAACATATGAATAAATATAATTTTTGTTTAAAAATGGTCTCATTGAATAAAGAAATAAACTCTCATGTAAAAAGGCTAAAAAAAGCTTATCTCAATTTGAAGAAACTTTCTGTTGTCCAACAATAATAATGAAGTGTCAGTTGAAGAATGGCTAATCAAGATAGTTTTGAAAGTGAGACTGATTAGCTAGGTCTCCATATGGCAAAGTTGTAATAAATAACATTTATTTTTCCTTTCCTCCTATTTTTCTCAGGTCCTTTTTTGAAAATGAGTACCTTTTTTTTTTAAAAAAAAATCAAGTTAACACACAGAAGTATACTAAGTCAATAAATACAATTTTTGTTTTGCATTAATGCTAGAAATTTCTTCTATTCTCAAGTTCTTTCTCAACTTGTTTCTGTCTCTGTCTCTTTCTCTCCACAAGCTTTCAAAAACTATTGATGCAGATTCATAAAATGTCAGAGCCTTGTAGAGCATTTGACTAAAATGAAAGATATTTCAAAGCAAACTCTTACAGAGATTTATAATTATTACTTGTATAAATATTTTTAATGAGGCACATTTTTATGTTACAGTGGCCAGGGATCTTTAGTAAGTGCAAAACTTTTCATATTTCATACACTTAGGGGCTTAAATGTTTCCAGAAGTGCTTTCCTTATACAGTATCCCTTAGTTATATTGAAGAACAAAATGTGTGATGCCCATAAGTATTATGGGATGTAAAGTAGGGGAGAGAAATTATACTGTTGCTTTTTCCACACCCTAGCTCTTGTGGCAACATGAGAAGCAGTGAAGGAGAGAGTTTCATATGATCCTTTGACACTTCAAGGAAAATTTACAGTGATTCTTTACAGGGCCTGTCTGGTCAGGGGCCATCAGTAACCCAGTTTTTCAGCTCCTGTCACTTAGTGGTCAGTAAGAAACTTATTCTTTGTCTGGTGATAGAATGTGAGGAGAAGTTGGCATAATATTTTTAGGGTTTTGGCAGTTTCTTTGAATTTGAGCAGAGAAAACCTAAATACCCAAGAATGTGGCCAATTTCACTCAGCCAGTTGATTCAGTAGCACATACTCTGCCAAGACTCTAGCATGGAGTATTTAGGGAATGGTTAGTCCAAGCTGCCTGGAAGAGGACATACATACTGGGGAATAAGGGTGATGTGTTTAGTGAAACCAGATTGTGGCAGGACCTTCAGTGCTATGCTCAGGCTTACCAGGCTCAGCTGTGAAAGCAGAGGTTGTCAGCAAGGTATTTTAGAAATATTAATATGGCATTAGGAACTTTTGCCTTGGCTGAAGAGAGGTAGGTGCTAAAGTATCAATGAGGATGGGATTAAAAGGGAGAGATATGAGAAGAGCTCTGACTGGACCTAGTAAGGGTTGGGTACAAGCTCTCTAAGATTGGATTTTTGTTTTCCCTCTGGCATATACCTCATTACTTTGAGGAAGTTTTCCTTGACTACCTCCTGGCCTCAGTTAGGTTAAACATTCTTTTATTTATTCTTATCATATCGTGTATTTTTCTATTACAGCAGTTTATTACAACTGGATTAAGTTCTTTATGTTGAACATAGTTTTAATTTAACCTCTGTCTTTTCTGGTGGATGGTGAGCTGCACGTGGTCAGGAACCACACGTGCCTTACTCACTGCTGTTTGCCTGGAGCCTGGGAAGTGACAGCCATTCAGTAAACACTCATTGTGAACAGATGCACATGAATGAAGGAAACGAAGAAAAAGTGCTGAGTCAATAAGGGCTGAAGCTTCAAGGTGCAATGGCTGGTGAAAAGCATGGTGCTGCCATTGATAGGTTTTGAGAAGGTAGGATGGACTTGAAGGTGCCTAAAAAGTAGATGATGAGAACTCTTCATGAATATCTTAGCCCTTTCTCTACCATACCCTCTTATTAGAAGACTCAGTGAGTCTCAGACCAAGAGCAGAGGGCTTAGTAGTTTTGTTTGTGTCTGGGACAACCTGAAAGTGCTAGGGAGTTAGTATCTTTGAGAGCCGCCTCCACCAATGCTTACTGGGAGTTACTGGGTAAATACTTTGGCTTTCTTGCCCAAGGTAGAACATGACTGAACTTTATACAGGCTCCGGAGAACCTGTAATTTGAAGCTGCGCAGGCCCAGCCTCACCTGCCAATATCAGTATACCTCATATTGGCTTCTCTTCCTGTCTCACTTTCCATTCCTCTGTTAATGCTTCTTAGGATCACCTTCTCCTCAAATTCCTACCCTTAAATTTTTGTCACAGGACCTGCCTATGAGAGAAACCAACCTAAAACAGAGTTTTATCACAATTTATCAGTGCCTTTTTCCATGACTGTGGACAAAGCACTTGTTGCCTGCTTTCTTGTCCACAGAGCATGGAACAGAGCTCAGGAACCTCCCAAAAGTGGTATCTGATATGAATACTTAATGTTTACCATCGTGAAAAGAAAATGGTGAATGTGGAGAAAGAACTGCCTTCTCTTATTTCCCCACCCTACTACTGAGTAAGGAAGTTGTGACAAAATAATTCATAGCCCTGACTCAGCCCTGCTTCACAAATGGAGGCCAGTCACGTGGGCCACAAGTACCTTCATGAAGCTCTGTCATTGAGCAATGGTGATCTTATCCACCCATTTCCTTCATCTGCAAGCCATCTTTCTGTTTTCCAAGCCAAATTTCAAAGGGCTTAAGAGGCTTTTGTATTTGACTCCCTCAATGTAGGAAAATTCAGCAGCTCATGGGCTGTGCAGCTGTCATTGAAGACATATGGTAGATTTCATCCTTAATTGAAATACACACCAAATTGGCTGTGTGGATCCTCCAGCTGAGGGCTCACTGGACAACTGGTCTCACAGCACAGTGGGATATTACTGGAGTGAATGTGAACTGTATGTTAGTGCCTCAGTCTGCAGAAGAGCACATCGGGAGGGCTGCCTTTGAAAACCGAACCTTGTGAGTTGCAGCCATCCCTTGCAGACTTTCTCCCCACACATCACTGGCCCAGTGTTTTTGGATCAAGTCCCTGGGATAATGTGACTGGTAAAAAAAGAATGGGAATTTGGAGATCATTGTTGACTGAAACCTTCTTAAAAGAGCCCACTGTCATCTCTTGGGGGCAATTCTCTGATTTTTTTTTTTGGAAGGAACCTATTTATGAAAGTGTTTTAAAATTACTGGAATGTTCACTTCTAGCACAGATCTAGGTTTGTGTTTTGAAATGCATTTCTAAGACTTGATCAGTGATTTGAACTCATAGGGCTAACATGATATAGTTATCATCCATACCTCATTGCGAATGTGGCCTAGGGGAAGCATGAAAGAGTTATAAGACCTGGATTTGGTTTTAAATTCTTTTATTAACTAGTTGAGTGGCTTTGTTTTTGTTTTGTTTTGTTTTGTTTTGAGATAGTCTCACTCCATCACCCAGGCCATAGTGCAGTGGCATGATCTCTGCTCACTGCAAACTCTGCCTCTTGGATTCAAGTAATTTTCATTTCTCAGCCTCCTGAGTAGCTGTGACAACAGGTGTGCATCACCATGCCCAGCTAATTTTTGCATTTTTAGTAGAGATGAGGTTTCGCCACGTTGGCCAGGCTGGCCTCGAACTCATGATCTCAAGTGATCTGTCCACCTCAGACTCCCAAAGTGCTGGGATTAATGAGGCTACCACACCTAGCCTTGTTAAGTGACTTTGGACAAGTCCCTTACTATTATTATTATTATTTTGGAGATGGAGTTTTGCTCTTGTCGCCTAGAATGGAGTGCAATGGTGTGATCTCAGCTCACTGCAACCTCTGCCTCCCAGGTTCAAGCAATTTTCCTGCCTCAGCCTCCCAAGTAGGTGGGATTAGAGGCATGTGCCACTACACTTGGTTAAGTTTTGTATTATTAGTAGAGACAGGGTTTCATCACATTGGCTAGGCTGGTTTCAAACTCCTGACTTCAACTGATCCCCGCCTCTGCCTCCCAAAGTGCTGGGATTACCGGCTTGAGCCACCGCATCCAGCCACCTATTATTTTTTAAATATAGTAATAATATCTCTCTCACAGGGTTGTTGGAGATTATAAGAAATATGAGGTATATTTTTGTTAGGTTCATTGCTTATCTCATTTGGATTCTGGATATGTGTTGCCAGAAAGCATCACTGTAGGAGATCATTGACTTCAGCTCTTTTTTTCATATAAAATTAATATATATTTATTCTTTTGTATTATGTATATCTTTATCAATTTTCTTAATTTATTTTTAGAATACATTAGAATACAGAACATGAATGAATGAATGAATGAAATGAAGTTGATAGTCTATGGACCTATCAACCCAGTACTGCAAATAAACATGAACTAAATGTGCTAAGAAAACAGATCAGAAGAAAAGTCTTAGCTCATGTTTTTTTTAAATTATTATTTTTCATTTTTTAAAAAATGACACCATGTTCCATGAAATAATTGAACAGAAAATTGTAGTTCTACTGTTTCATTTCCCAGTTCTGCCTTGAAATCATTAACTCATTTCAAATATATGAACCAGGGTTTTAAAAAGAGGATTAATTAATATAAGAAGTTATGTTACTAACATTCTTCAGAAGTCAGTGGCCGTAACCAGAGTACAATAGTCTTTTGGTAAACCCTGCTTCCTGTCGAAAAGAAATATAATCAAATCATCAGCATAATGGAAGAGTAAATCATTTCCTTGAAGACTGATTTCCCTTTCTCTTGTTTGTTACTTTTTGCTGTATAAACTGCACCTTCTGTCCTCATACCCAGGTAATTAATATTGTAGACCTCAGGATGAGAGAAATCTTTACTGTTTTGATTGCCACCTGCTCTGATACTGTTTAGGGAGAATGACAGAAATATATTCTAGATTGGGGTTCCCATGGGTAGTTACAGATTTGGTTTGTATTTAACCCTCTCCATCAGATTGAGGAGGTGCCTCAGGGTGCAGTTAGAAGCCAAACTCTTTTTCTTGAGGGTAGAGAAACATACAGTTCTACTACCACCAGTGACCTAATGAAGTGCTTCACATAAGGTTACCAATGAGGTTTTAATTTCAAATTTAGGACTTTCCCCTAAATGCCCACATACTGAAATTCATTAGCCATTTTCAAAGAGGCATAGAGTTAACAGGAAGTACCCTAATTGGATATACAGTATCATCTCAGGATCCAGGTCACATGAGATTTAAGTAGTTTTCTTTTGACTTCCTAGAGAGGGATGCAGTAGGCATGAACTGAATAGGGATAAAAGAATAAAATTATTCAAAGAGATAGTCCTGAGGGAAAGTGATGACAGGCCAAAAAAATAAAATAGTGAAGGATTAGTGTGTGTGTGTGTGTGTGTGTGTGTGTGTGTGTGTGTGTTTCAGACAAATACTTAACTAGTCTGTGAGTGTCATACAAATATGTTTAATTCCAGGCATCTGATGCCAGTATGCACTTCCAAGTAATGGTGGGAAATTTGGATGGGTTTAATGGAAAAAAAAAAAAAACAGCTTAAAGTTGAATATGGCTAATGAAAATAGTACATTTCAAATTCTGAAATGAAAACTGACCATTATCTTCTTGGTTTGCATTTGCAGCTCCTGGCCAAATACAAAAGCTTGCAATGGGACAAAGTACTGCAGTTGGAGGAGGTGCAGGCTAAACTAGGGATTAGTCTAGAAGAAATGCTGTTGGTCACAGAGGATGCCCTTCATCCTGAACCCTATAGCCCCGAGGAGATCTGCAGGTGTCTGGGAATTACCCTGGAGGAACTCCGAACCCAAATCCTGAGTCCAAACACTCACGATGGTGAGCTGGCTGGCGAAAGTAACATACAGGTTATTCCCTCACTCACAGCTGGAAGGCTTCAACTTCTCCACTGATTTTAAAGCATACTTAAGGGAATCTGGAGACTGTGTTTTGGTAAACTTAATTATTTAGAATCTTAGCTTCATAAATGTGTTCATTCATTCATTCATTCATTCATCAATATGCTGGTTAGGCAAGGGTGAATGAGACATGATTTTTGTCTTTTAGGGACTTGTAATTCAATAAGCTTCTCTTTTTTATCTTTTCTTTTCCTTATACATTTTTTTTTTTCTGGTTATTATGCTACTTGTATGAAAAAATGGTCTAGGTTAGTAAACTCTAACGCTGTGAAACGATACTCAGAACACTATAAAGTCTTCACTTCTTAGGTTCAAATTTGTGGCCCACTTTACCGTGGAAGCTTATTTCTTTTTGTGGTGTGCTTTCAATTTTATTTTTATGCCAATCAAATCAGAAACTGAGATGAAGGACAGGTAAATGTTGCAGGCATAGGATGGAGTCTTGGACTGGCTATTCTTCTTAGAGTGAAGGTTATCTATTTGTGAGAAATCAGTACCGGGAGTAAGGACATCTAGTTAAGATTCAGTTACTCTTAGGGTAGGGTTATGGTAGGTGAGTAGGAGATTAACACAAAGATCAGCCTCAGGGCCCCAATTCTGGCTCATCCAATTCAGTTCCACAACTGGTTGTTGACTTGCTACTGTGGATTTACCTACAGAGTAATGTCTTAAAGGCTACAAGTATTGAAAACTTTGGGATAAGATAAGGGAGTCATTTGGAAGCAGGGACTGGGTTTTGGTTTCTAACACTGTCAATCCAATTTAATTTGATGAAGCTTGATAGAGTCGTTAGAACCAGAATAAACAAACTATGGCCTACTGGCCAAATCTGACCTGCCATCTGTTTGTGTAAAATAAACTTTTTCTAGAACATGGCCATGTATTGGCTATGGCTGCCTTTGCACTATAAGAGTTGAGTAGTTGTGACAGAGACTGAATAGCCCACAAAACTGAAATACTTACTATCTGGCCCTTTGCAGAAAAAGTTTGCTGGCTCTCATTCTAGAAAGGCAGTAGACTGAAGTTTACCTTGGTTTTGCCATGAAAATAGGCATAACAGGAATGTGTCTCTTATATGACTAATCTGTGTATTGTGCTAAGAATAATGCTAAGTAGTGGAGGTACTAATATGAGTGATGAGTGTGGTGATAGAGTTGTACTTGGGTCTAGGGAAACCAGAAAAAAAGAAATCAAAGACAGCTTAAGGCCAGGTGCAGGGGATCAAGCCTGTAATTCCAGCACTTTGGGAGGCCAAAGTGGGTGGATCACTTGAGGCCAGGAGTTCAAGACCAGCCTGGCCAACACAGCAAAACCCCATCTCTGTTAGAAATACAAAAATTAGCTGGGCATGGTGGCAAGCACCTGTAATTCCATCTACTCAGGTGGCTGAGGCAAGAGGATTTCTTGAATCCAGGAGATGAAGGTTGCAGTGAGCTGACATTGTGCCACTCTACTCCAGCTTGGGTGCAGGGAGAGACCCAGTCCCTAAAAAAACAAAAGCCAGCTTAACTAAGGAGATAGCAACCAGCCAAAAGTTAAATAATAAATAGATATTTCCTAGGTAGGCAAACAGTCAGAAAGAATTCCAGGCAGACAAAACAGTAGATATAGAGGCAGAAAGAAGTGAGAGAAGATTTTATGTCCAGAGAACTACAGTTAGTTGAGTATTTCTTGAAAATAATGTTGAGAATGATATGGTAATAGGCCAAGGTTGTAGATAGACCCAAATCACCAAAGGCCTTGTTGAATAATTTTTGTGGTGTGTTTTATAGGTAATGTGAGAGGTAATAAATATTTATTGAATGAAGAAGATGGGCAGGGTATTGGATAGGGAGAGCTAGGGGAATAGCCTTTATCCTTTGACCTAAGATACTGATTTCTTTCTTTCTTTCTTTTTTTTTTTGAGGCAGAGTTTTGCTCTTGTTACCCAGGCTGGAGTGCAATGGCGCGATCTCGGCTCACCGCAACCTCTGCCTCCTGGGTTCAGGCAATTCTCCTGCCTCAGCCTCCTGAGTAGCTGGGATTACAGACACGCACCACCATGCCCAGCTACTTTTTTGTATTTTTAGTAGAGATGGGGTTTCACCATGTTGACCAGGATGGTCTCGATCTCTTGACCTGGTGATCCACCCACCTTGGCCTCCCAAAGTGCTGAGATTACAGGCTTGAGCCACCATGCCTGGCCGATACTGATTTCTTTAACAAATATGTATTGACTTCTGTGGACTAGAAATTGTGCTAGATGCTGGGATACAAAGATAAGCAGGACACAGTCTCTACTTTATGGTGACTTTGTGTCTAATTGGGGGAGAGTGCCATACAACCATCACAATAAATAATACCTGCTGTAACAAAGGTATTTATCAAGAACCCTAAGAGTATGGAAGGAAAAGTGGCTCAGATCCTGTAGATGGTGGTTCAATTTTGAGCTGGATCCTTAGAGAAAGTTATTAATTTCCTAGACTAAGAGAAATGACCAGCCATTCCAGGCAGAGAGTAGAGCTTGAATGAAGACAAAGTAGCACAAAGACTGGAGTACTGGAGAACATGTGCCAAGAGGTATTGTGTGCAGTAGGAGTGGGAGGACAAAAAGACTGCTTAAAAGGATGCCAATGGGGAAACTATTGATCTATACACTGAATGAGAAGAGCCGGAAGTAGGGTAAATGACTAAACTGGTAGATTCTCAAGACTGTAAAATAGAATTCAGTTGGAATTGGCAATTGCTGATATATAAGGAGTGAAGGGAAGAAGGAAGAAAGGAAGGAAAGAAGAAAAGAAATATAAGGTAATTAAGTCCAAGGAATGGATAACTGGGAAAGTAAGGAAATTATAGTATCTAAGTGTTTTTGGCAGTAAGATGACAAGCTCATTTCTCTCTCTCGCTCTCTCAATAGATTATCTATCTATCTATCTATCTATCTATCTATCTATCTATCTATCAATCATTGAATTTGTCTGGTGTGATAGCAAGGTATCTAGAGATGTAAAATAGATAAAGATCCAAATGACAGAGTAATTCGATTTGGGGTTATTGTTGAAAAGGTGACGAAATCTTAATAGACACTGAAAATGTTGACTGTCAAATGATCTAAAAACAGTCTTTTCATAGTGTCACTTCTTAGTTCAGAAACCTTCAGAGGCCCACCATTACCTAATGGACTGAACTCTTCTAGTCCTGTCTTAACTATGTTCTATCCTTTGTCCCTTTTGAGCTCATACATTCTGATGTGGACAGTGTTGCCTTGGTTGGGCCATTCTGCTTACTAATTGGAAACAGTCTTCCCTCTGGGCTTTTAATCCTAAACACCTCTGTGCTTTTATAAATGGATTTTCTCCCTTTTCTGAAATGTAGTTCCTACCTGTCTTAATATAATTCTTATCTTTTGCTTATACTTCTTAATCCACAACCTATTCTCTTTCTCTGTATCCTTCTTTCTTTCTGCATATGCCTGTCTTTTCTTCCCTTCTTTTACAATTTTTGGAATAAGTAAATTTCCCAGAATGCTTTGGAAAATACAAAGGGTAATTTGCTTGGCATACAAAATGTGTTGCTCTTTCTCTGTCTCTCTTTCTATGTATATATGCATAAGCTTGATCCCCTGAAGAATGACGACTTCAAGGTTTTTGTAAAAATAATGCATGCTTCTTCTTATCTCTTTTTTTCCAGAACTTTTATTTATTTTCTTTTTCAACTTTAATTTTAGGTTCAGGGCATAGACATGTAGGTTTGTTACATATGTAAATTGCATGTTTCTGGGGTTTGGTGTACAAATGATTTTGTCACCTAGTGAGCATAGTACCCAAAGGGTAGTTTTATGACTCTCACTCTCCTCCAAGCCTCCATCCTCAAGTAGGGTGTTTTTCTCCTCTTTGTCACCATATGTACTCAATGTTTACCTCCCATTTACAATTGATAGTGTTCCAATATATGGCATTTTGGTTTCTGAACCTGCATTAATTTGTTTAGGATAAAGTCCTCCACTGGCATCCATGTTGCTGCACAGGACATGATTTCATTCTTTTTAATGGCAGCATAGTATTCCACAGTGTATTTGCATCACATTTTCTTTATCCAGTCCACCATTGGGCATCTAGTTTGATTCATGTCTTTCCTATTGTGAATAGTGCTGCAGTGAATATGTAAATGCATGTGTCTTTTTGGTAGAATGATTTATATTCAATTTGAGTATATACCCAGTAATGGGATTGCTGAGTTGTAGTTCTGTTTTGAGTTCTTTGAGAAATCTCTAAACTACTTTCCACAGTGACTGAATAATTTACATTCTCACCAGCAGTATATACTCATTCCCTTTTCTTGGCAAACTTGGCAACATCTGTTATGGCTTTTTAGTAATAGCCATTCTGACTGACAGGAGATGATATCTCATTATGGTTTTGATTTGCATTTCTATAATGATTAATGATATTGAGCATTTCTTCAATAGGCTTGTTGGCCACATCTGTGTCTTCTTTTGGGAAGTATCTGTCTGTGCCTTTGCCCATTTTTAAATGGAGTTGTTTTTTGCTTGATTTGTTTACATTTTTCATAGATTCTGGATATTAGACATTTGTAAGATGCACAGTTTGCAGAAGTTTTGTCCTATTGTGTAGGTTGTCTGTTTACTCTGGTGACAGTTTCTTTTGCTGTACAGAAGCTCTTTAGTTTAGATCTCAGTAGTCAAATTTTGTTTTGGTTGCAATTGCTTTTGAAGATTTCATTGCAAGATCTTTGTCAGGATTTATATTCAGAACTGCATGTACTGGGTTTTTTTTTTCTAAGATTTTTATAGTTTTAAGTCTTACATTTAAGTTTTTAATCTATCTTGAGTTGATTTTTTTATATGGCAAAAGGAAGGGGTCCAGTTAAAATTTTCTGTGTATGAATAGCCAGCTATCTCAGTACCATTTATTGAATAGG